ACTCGCACCCCAGAACCTCAACTCGAACCTCTAATCAATAAACCCGACATCAGCCTGAATGATGATTTGTCTCTCGTTGAGTATATTTGGATGAGAGGTCATTATCCTCCCCTGGGGCACAACAGTTAGTATAGTAGATTGTGGTTTGACCCAATTACAGGAAACAATCGATTATGCCGCTTCGAATCCAAATCGCAATCTCACAATTAACGTCTGTTGTTTGAACCCATCTAGGGTAGATCTTATTGGGTTAAAGTTGTCCCAGCGGAAGCTAGTTGCCAAACTCACTCTGATAGTAACAGTAATTCAAGATCAAGAACGTCTTCTAACCTATCACCCAAACCATACCGCACCGAGCCATGCACGTAATGTTGAGGCCAGCACCAATATTAATTTCACAGCTCTCCACAATCAAGAAATCCAATGCCAAAAGATTGTTCTTATTAATGAATTGAAATGCTTAACATTAACTGGTCTTGAGGGTGCTACTCAAGACATTCATTCCAAAATAGTTCTAGAACTGTGTTGGGAGACTCTTCTCTGTCTTATTAAGCTTAATAATCCTGTCATTAATGTTCATACTATTATAGCTATTGTTCCTAAGTATGCTAAGAACCTATTCCCGTTAGAGCTTTTTCACCAGCGACTACATTCTACTCCCCGCGCCTTTGCTACTAAAATAACCACCAAAATCTGTACCGAGGAATGTTGGTGTCTCAAGGACATGTATGACAAATATTACACCCCCGAAGTATACGCCAAATATGGTATATCTGTTGGCGAATGCACAATTGAGTATGAGAAAAGACAAAATGGTTTGTTACATACGTTAAGGACCCTTAAAAAGTATCTATATGTGGATTGTAAGAAGTCGATAGAACATGTGATCGCAAATGGAACCAAATGTCCTGCTGAAGATCGCAGCAATAACAATTTGGAACTTCAAGAACCAGTTGATATAAACCTTAGGATTTTATATAATACTGATATGGCTGTTTATGTCAATTATGGTATTGTCGCCGGCCCATATGCTCTTTTCTGTCAGAATATACACTATACAGACATCAACATTAACGGCTGTGACAGATATAACGATAGCAAGGCCTGCCAAGCCCTTTTAAGCCTATTCGTCGATATCACCGCCCATACACTTAGAATCTCGAATGTTTATCGTGATACAGTCCACACCTTTGATCTATCTAAGATAGAAGGAGCTAACGCACTCCCTGAAATCCTCCGACGCCGCCTTAATCTTAAGACTCTGATACTAGACAAAGCTAATGATAACCTTGTTTACTGGATACTAAACAACTACATATTTGCGGATTCTATGGAATTGCATATCCTGAACCAACGCTACAAGAATCTTAATATTGCCCGAATTCTCTCCCTTCCTACATGCCAGAAGATCTCTAAACTTGTGCTAAATGACTTTGTTGGCTTAGATGAGGTGAAGTTATACAAGAAGTATAAGAAAGAAGGTAGACTCGCTGAGCTCCCATTATTCAATTACATAGAAACAATGAAAGCCGAAAACAAGACCATCACGGATCTTGGTCTTAACAAACTGACTCTGCGACTGGAAGGTCTTGATTGCAATAAGTATACTGAAATCTTAACTGAGTTTAAGAATATTGATATTCAATACGAGGTTGTTCCTATTGCAGTCTATATCGACCGTCAAATAGCGAAGTACAACTCTTATATAAGGGCGAAGAGTCAATATGCTTTGAGGAATCCCAACGAACGATTTGAGAAGGTGCTGGTACTCAGAAACATTAATCTACAAGAATTAGAAACGGATCTTGCCAGTCGATGCGCCACGTTTAGATCACAACGAGATCCAGACCAAGAACAAGAGCCATTTATCCAAAAACTTTCCCTTGATACATTATCGTTATATTTCAATGATACTAATCCAATAACTGAGAATAACTTAGTGAAGATTCTCATGTGGGTCGTGTATCAATTTACAGATCTAGGCTGGTTGGGCTTATACAATCTTAAGGTTTCGATGGATGAGAAAAGGAATATATCGGCCGGCAATTACTATATCATTGGGTTAAATGTCTTCGAATGTGATTCCATATCATATACATACCCAGGGCTTATGTTGGCTGTCGGCACTAAGTGTAATATCATATTGGCGGAACTCAATATCCCTTTTCCTGGTCCTATTATCGTGAGATATACAATGATACCTCAACTTCTTAAACTGGACCTCACAGAGATGGATTCTGAGACACACTTGTACAAACTCGCCTCGGCCATAAAGAATTCTAACTCCACTACATGCTCGATGTGCTCTTTAAGCCATTATCGGCCAAATGAGAAGAACCAATTGGGTGATGAGATGCATGTTGAGATAGATAATGACATGAGTGACGAGACGTGTAAAGAAGAAAGCGAGGGAGATGGTATGTATCAAGCGAAGATAAAGAAGGAAAACCCAGATACGGTGGAAGATTCTTCAGGTTTTAATCCAAAGTTACACTTTAAAACAGCCTGCTATTTCGCTTGCGAACACTTATTCTGTGCTGAATGTGTATGGAAGAGCGCGGAGGACACCGAGGACACCGAGGACACACTAAAATGTCCAACTTGTGAGAAATGTCTCGACCTCGATCGCACCTATGAGCTCATGTACGCGTCTCTACCCAACCTTGTTCTTGTCGAATGCGATGTTTCAACACCTACCACAAAGCTCTGGCAATCTAAAGCCATAGCATGGCGTGATACCCCTATCTACCTCTACGGTTATTGTCCACTCGCATATTGGTCTCGTCTTGAAAACAAGCCACAAGCAGATTATAACACTTCCAGCCCAATTCGTGTCATTTTCGTTTAAGTCGAATAAATCAGCCAGTTAACATACTCCTCGGTGTACTATCACTCTATATGTTGACTGATTATATCTACTTGTTATGATAAGCTCTTGTTCTCCACAACCAGTATAAAGCCATATTGTATGTACTAGAACCATTAGTTTATTAAGCAATCAAATCTGGTCTATGCGGCCACCCCTATTCTCGAAGACCACTAACTCAGATACTAGCTAGATTAGCAATCTAAATGTAACCCAAATAATAAAAGGAAATCATAAGCCTTCATCTTGAAAAAGCAACAAGTTGAATTTGGATTTTAGTTATTGGGTTTGATTCAAAATAGATCAGAATATACATACTCTAATCTGTAAACAATCCAATAAGAGCAAAAGACGTACAATTCAAATCAAAGTTGTTTAATGTATGCATTGGGCCCATCAATCAGCAATAAAGACTATAAAGCGACATATTACTTGTATGGCCAAACAGATATATGACACAATTTGAGCTATGTGATTGAATGGGTTGGAATGATTATGTGCTCGGTTCTTATGCAGGTTAATTTAAAGGGTAAAAGACCAGCCTGCAAAGCAAAGAGCGATGGATGAAGTTGTGAATTTTCCG